TGTTTGAGCAATGTGTAGCTGTAGGGCTAAAGATAAAAGCTAAAAATATAGCATCCTTTGTTTATTTTGCATAAAAATTAATATTACTATGCTGAGCTTAGTGAAATTGCTTCAAAATCTCACCTCCCATTCTAGCTATCCTATAGTCAGTTCTCTGAGTTTTTAAAAAAATCACTCAGAAACAATTTAGATGTACATTATACCCTGATGATAATTTTCATTAATTCGATCTAGGTTGATATACTAACAAAATACAAGCAGGTCCATTTGTTAGCTATATGCATGGTTTGAGAACAATGTGTACAGTTTCGGCATTCTTTTGTATTATTACCACTTTATATTTTGGTTTTAGTTATTGAATTATTTTATTAAAATGATCTTGTATGTATTGGGCAATATGGGAGTTATTTTTATTTAATTTTTATTTTTAGTTTTTACATCCAGGGTCTCACCATGCAGCCAAAGCTGGCCTCAAACTTGTGATCCTTCTGCCTCAATGTTCCAAGTACTGGGATTATGGCATGTACCACTATGCCTGGCTCTAGGGGGTTATATTGGCTGTTGAGAATTTAAAAACATAATAAAGCTGGCTGAAGCTAATCTAATTTATTGTCACTGTGTGCCAGCATTTCTGAAAATGTTAGTGGTAGAATATCTTCCACTCCTCCAATTTTTGTTGATGTAAGCACTAAACAATTGTTGTGATTACTGTTGAGTTTTAGTAATGCATATGAAAACCTCAGCTAAGCACATTTTTATTATTTTTCCTTAAATAAACCCTGTGTTCTGCATGAGAGCTAATTTGGCAATTCCCAGTTCAGTCAGCTCAGACCCACACACTTCTTAAGATTAATTATTTGGAACAGTTCTAGCTTTCTTCAGGTAACTGTGTCTCTGCCCTTGTGACAATACATAATCCTTCTTTCACACAGTAAAAGTTTGATATTAACAATAGTTGCACAATGTTTGAAAAGAAGAAGAAAAGGAAGTTAAAACTCTATGGCCACTTTGATTTTAAAATTTAAAACTGAAATAAGCTGGGAGCCGGTGACTCACACCCGTAATCCTAGCTGTAATCCTAGCAGGCTGATTGGGAAGATCACAGTTCAAGGCCAGCCCAGGCAGACCATTTCAACCAATACCTGGGCACTGTGATGTGCACATGTCACTATGTGGGAAGCTGAGATCTGGAGGACTGCAGATACAGGCAACCTGGGCCCCATCACAAGGGAAAAAAAGCCAGCTGTGTCGATGTGATTCTGTCATCCCAGTTACTGCGGGAAGTGCAAAATAAGGAGAATCAGTGTCCAGGTGAGCATGGGCAAAAAGCGAGACCCTATATCCAAAATAACCAGCAAAGGGGCTGGAGTGTGGTTCAAGTGGCACTGCTGCCTAGCAAGTGTTAAGCCCCGAATTCAAGCTCTAGTACTCTGAAATTGTGTGAACTAAAAGATACAGTATTTTGTCTGGGAGATACTTATTTTTGTTAATACATGAACTGTTTCACTGAATACCTTTTTCTTTTGGCAGTACTGAAGCTTGAATTCAGGGCCTCACACTTGCTAGGCAGGCACTTGAACCACTTCACCAGCCCTTTTTAGTGTCTGATTTTTTCAAGATAGGATCTCACAAACTATTTGCCCAGGCTGGCTTCAAACTGCGATCCTCCTGATCTCTGCCTCCTGAGTAGCTGGATTATAGGCGTGAGCCACAGATGCCTGGCTATTTTACTTTTTTGTTTTGAGACACAGCCTTGCTATGTAGCCCAGGCTGGCCTCAAACTCATTATCTTTCTGCCTCATCGTCCTGAGTGTCCCCACTCGTATAAATTGTCCCTTTAGTTACTGTTTTCTCGTAGGAGTATGTCAGGGCAGTGAGCAGAAAGAACTTTGATTTTCAAAAGCTTGTGTCTTTTGAAAATTTAGTTATTAGTTCATTATCTAAACTAATCTTTGGGGAAGAGAGGATTCACCATATCATCATCATCATCATTATTATTATTATTATTATTATTATTATTATTTACTGGGGCTCTAACCCAAGGTTTTGTACATGCTAAGTGAATGGTTCCAGTTGTGCCACAGCCTCACCCCTAGCCCTTTTGTTTTTATTTTCTTTTTGACATAGGGATCTTGCTAACTTTCACAGGGCTGGCCTTGAGATTTTTTTTTTTTCAGTGTTGAGCTTGAACTTGGCCTCCTCCCTCAACTTCCCAAGTGTTGGGATTATAGATGTGTACCACTACATCCAGATAGGTATGTAGTCAGTTGAGATGATTCAAAGGTGACAAGAATTGAAGGGCACCTATTATGTGAGGGCAGAATGAAGTAAATTTATTTGTCTTAGCTCAACTTTTCTCTTCTGAATTGTGGATGAAAGTAAAAAATAAAAATGTAAAATTAAGCCACCATACAAAAATTTATGAAGTTCTGACACATGCTAGGACATGAATGAACCTTAAAAACATTATGCTAAGTGAAAGTAGACCAGAAACAAAATATCAAATACTGGGACTGGTGGAGTGGCTCAAGTAGTAGAGCACCTGCCTAGCAAGCATGAGGCCCAGAGTTCAAACCCCAATACTGCTTTAAAAAAAAAAAAAGAGGTCAAATACTGTATTTTCACTTACTTACATAAAACATCTACAATAGGCACATTCATAGAGTCAGAGAGTAGATTAGAAGTTACCAGGATCTGGGGTAATGAGGAGGTTTTGCTTAATTGATGCAGAGAGAGTTTCTGGTTGGGGTGATGAAAAATTTTAGAAATACTAATGATCCTTACACAATATTGTGACTTTGACTAGTGCCCCACTGACTTGTATACTTTGAAGTAGAAATTTTATATTATATGTTTTACCATAATTAAGATAGTAAAAAATTAATCCACTAAATTGGAATTAATCCAATGGTCATATCATATTATTTTGGGGGGGTTGGATAGGTAGAGAGAGAAGAGTTTTTTTTCTTTTTAGTGGTACTGGGGGATTGAATTTAGGGCCTCTCACTTCCTAAGCAAGGTGCTCTACTGCTTGAACCATGCCCCCAAGTCACTTTTGCTTTAGTTATTTTTGGGAAAGTTCTCATATTTTTTGCCTAGGTACTGCCTGGACCATGATCTTCCAACTCATGCCTTGTAGCTGGGATGACAGGTGTGTTCCATCATGCCTGGTTGAGATGGGGTCTTGCTAACTTTTTGACCCGACTGGCCTCAAACTGCCATCCTCCTGATCCCTAACTTCCAAGTAGCTAAGATTATAGCCTTGAGTCAGTGTGTCCAGTAAGACAGAAGAATGTTTAATATGGGATGCAAGTTATATTTCCTTAAATAAGCTACCACACTTTCTACTAAAGAATATGCAGGATATTATAAGCATTCTTGTGGTAAGGCATAAAGTCCCATCACATTAGTTGTTTGAACAGTTCTTCATATATATAATTCGGGAGTAGCCACACCATTCTGATCTGGGATTACTAAGATTGTCAATACGGATAGAGGTGGTTTTAATCATTATACAGATTTACTCAAGCATGAGTGATAAGACTGTGCGTATCATAGAATCTATATAAAGTCACGTCCCTAACCTCAGAGTGGGATGTTTTTCCTGTGTTCTCTTTAAGCCTTGGCAAGAGGCCACCCCAGAAGCCATCTAGATGATTTTTATAGTGTGTAATAAGGATCAGAAGGCAGGATTAAAAACTATGTTTTATTCCAAATATTGGACTCTCTGAAGCCAAGCCAATTTGGCCTGAAATTTGGAAAACAAGTAAGTTAGTCACTGTAGTTGACATTATTAGCAAAGGGAGTCCTTTTTTCAGTTCATTTGTAGTGTGATGTTCATGAGTAAGTATAAGACAAGAGCTTAATGACAGACCCTTGAGTGAGCCCGTTTCTGTCTGTACTTGAGAAGTCACATCAGGGTGCAGGGTATCACTCAAAAGTGTTTTGAATGAGTGGTGTCATTGCTTTCAGTGTTACGACCTAGTAATGGGCAACAGGCACTTATACAAGCAGGGGTGATATCACTGGCTGATAACACTTATCACTTATTTCTCTCTCTCTCTCTCTCTCTCTCTCTTCTTGAGACAGGGTCTTGCTACACAGTGGAGGATGGCCTCCAACTCTTGATCCTTCTGCCTCAGCCTCCCAAATGCTGGAATTTCAGAAGGGCTCAGCCACACCTGGTTATATAACACGTAACTTTTCACCACCCCAACCAGAAGCTCTCTATCAATTAGGCCCAGCCCCCGGTAACTTCTAATCTACTTTCTGGACTCTGTGAATTTGCCTATATGCCTATATGTCTCTAGTTGTTCCAACTGGCTTAAATGAGAAAAGACATTGAAATAAAAGAATAATTAATTGTAAGTATGTACTGAGTGCTCTGTGGTCGACTTAGTTCCGTAAAAGCATGGTTCTTTAGTAAAGTCACAATTCTCAGCATGTGTCAAAGATTTATTTAACACAAGTAGAATTAAATGACTCATCCGAATGAGAAGGGAGACTGTTTATTCAGAGCTTGCTATAGCAAGGGAGGAAGCCATCATCGCAGTGTAGCAGAGACTCGAAAGACAGGGAGAGGGGAGCTTTACAGTGGCAGGAAAAAAACGACGCTTCCAGTGTGTTCTAATTAGAGGTGTTGACAGGGAAGCTGGAAGTAGGTTAACTAGAAGCGAGCTTCCCGGAAGTTCAGGTACAGTTAAGTGACACTTAAGGTAAAGTCACAAAGTAAATGATGACTTGGGTTTATCTAACTTGGGTTAGATTGCAGAGCCCGCTGGAGGAGGAGCTCCTAAGCTTTGAATTTAGGCAAAGGAGTCTTTCATCCTCACTAGCGCCTCCCACACTCCGCTGGGCCGCCAGACGCCCTCTGTTGTCATGGAGACGCGGGACGGCCCAGCAGTCTCTTTTTCTTTCCTTGGTGCCCCAGGCGGGGCACGCGATGACGCACGCGCGTTCGCCGCGGTGGCTGCTGGGAGTGAGCGCCCAGCCGTCCGATCAGGAAGTGGCGGGCGGAGCCAGTGGCCGAGTCGCCGCCTCAGCTGCCGCCACCGCCGCCTGTGGCGAGACCCCGAGCTGGCGGGTCGGCGCGGGGCTTGCGCGCGGACGGGCGGGGGCACTGCCGAGGAGCGGGAAGCGGCGGCCGCGCCGGCGTGAGCGGCTGGCCGGGGCGGAGGCGCCGGGAGGCGGCGGGGCGCTCGGGGCTGCCCTCCTCGCTCAGGTAGGGGCCGCGGCGCCGGTCGAGGGGCGCGGAGTCCCGGCTTGGTGCTACTGGAGGGGAGGGCCAGCGTGTCGTCCGCGCCCCGGGAGGCTGGGGCTGCGGTTCTCCCCGCGAAGCCCTGCCGTCCGCTCACCATTGTCTTTTAGGCCGGAGGATCATCGCGCAAACTTTTGGGTTGGAGAAAGGGAAAATTGGCACTCAGCGTGCCTCTCTTAGCGCCCAAGTTCACTTTAGCAGTAGTCTGGGGAACCACGGTGTCCAGCTAAGGGCTGTGACTTAGGGGCAGGCCCCCGGGCTGAATTTTTAGTTGCCCTTTGAAGACCTTGCTTGTGACTATTCCTGACTTTAATCGTAGCCATTGATTTCTGAAAAGTGGGGCGCCGCGACCCCCTTTAGTCCCCTCTGCGCCTCTCGTCTGGGCTCCTGGCTTTTCAGTATTGGGTGATTGGGTGCCAGCGCGCCTCGGAGGCAGCAAACGAGGAAAAGTAATTTTCAGCTTCTCAGTGTCCATCCACGAAGGAACACGCTATCCCTGAGTTGTGATGGTGTTTTAAAAAAAAGTTTTTGTGTGTTAAAAATGAATAAACGGACAAAGAGATAGGTGTTCTCTACAACACAGGTCAGTTCTGAGGTGTAGAACTCAGGACTAATATTGAGGAGTGTTGGAAAAGGAGGAAAAGTTGGGTGCAGCCTGTGACAGTGAGAAGACCCTGTTAAGCCTCCTGCTGCAGGTGCCTGTGAATGTTCTGGCACCTCACAGGGCTTTTTGTTTTAGAGATTTTTATAGCATTCCAGGTCTGGTGTGCGGAGACGGGATGTCATGGTTCCTCCAGCTTCGTGACCGTCACCATATCACTTCTTTTCAGATTCCACGCTAAAGTAGTAATAACACTAACACCTATTTTTTCATAAAGGTGCAGGATCATGTGTTGTAAGCATGTAGGTTTTTGTAAACTGTACATCTTTATTTAATCTGTCATAACATCATTGTTAAAAAGCCAGATTAATTATCCGATTTTATAAGGTGTGATAAACAGAAATGTTTTAGCTTGCAATCTGTTTCCTCCACCTTCTCACTTGTGAATTTTTTGTTATTGTCCTCACACTTTCCCTCCTCCCAGACTGTCTCCTATCTTCCTCACTCCAGTAATAATCATTTTGTTAATTTGTAGCAGATGCAACCAAAATAGTAATACTGAAATAACATTTGTATGACTTTACTGTTTAAAAAGTAACTCTTACATATGTTTTCTCATTTTAGTAGTTGAGCTAGATGTGTACAGCATTGGCAGTGTCCTCCTTGTATTTAGGGTGGAATTGAATTTAGAGATTTTTTTGAGGGGGTATGGGTTTTGAACTCAGGGCCTACACCTTGAGCCACTCCACCAGACCCCCCCCCCCCAACAACACACACACCCAGAAAGGGTCTTTCAAACTATTTTCCTGGACTGGCTTCAAACCTCCATCCTCCTGATCTCTGCCTACTGAGTAGCTAGGATTACAGGCTCCCATCTGAATTTAGAGGTCTTGTGGATTGCCTAGCCACGTGGTTACTGGGAATTGAAACTGAGAGAAGGCAAGTGTTTGATTCTTGGTCCGGTGACTTCCCTCCCTACTTAAGTGCATACTGATTATTCTTTATCAGTGATTATACTTAAAAATGTTCACTTGCCAATTCACATTTTACTTACTGTTTTGTTAAGCATGGTGCTCAAGACAATCATTCATATCTAAGCTGCTTGAAGGGAAGGATTTTCCAGAACCTTTAGAACACAGTGCCTTGCAAACAAGACATTTACTAAAGGCTGGTGAAACCAGTAATGAGGCTAGTTCAATTTAAAGGTGTTTTCCCAATCATTGTTCATTTAACAAGTATTTGAGGTAACCTCAGCTTAAAGACTCTACAAGTACAGGTGAAACAACTTAAGATTTCTTGACTTTATGAAGATGTGAAAGCGATGGATACTCAGTTGAGTTTTGATCTTTTCCTGGGCTAGCTACACATGGTATTATACTCATGCAGTGAGCTGCAATGCCCAGCCAGCCAGGAGATCATACAGGCAAATGACTGATACTCCACATTGTGGTGTGTTGCTAAGCTATGTTGTTCAGTAGGTTAGGTGTATTACTAAATTCACTTTCAGTTTATGATGAGTTTATCCTGTGTTGTACGGATCAGGAGCATCTATATAACATAGTCTTTTCCTCCTGACTTAACACCAGTCTGAACATTGTCAAATTTATTCATATAGGCATCTTGAGTTCTTCCTAGACCCTCTACAGCATCCTAGGGAGCGTTCAGAAAAGAGAGGAGTGTTTTTTAGATTATTGTTATTGACCTGTAGCTTTTCTGTTTGTATTGAAGCTGCTTAGAATTGTAGTTTTAGATTAGGGAAAAAAGTGAAGAGGTTATTTAGTTCCACCTCCCTCCAAATCAGAAGTTTTCTGTGGACATTTCTAAGAAATACTAACTCAAAGCCAGGTGCTGGTGGCTCTTGCTAAGAAATACTAACTCAAGCCAGGTGCTGGTAGTAATCCTTGCTACTCAGGAGGCAGAGATCAGGAGTTTCGAAGTTTGAAGCTGGCCGGGCAAATAGTTCTCGAGACCCCATCACAAAAAAGGGCTGGTGGAGTGGTTCACGGTATAGGCCCTGAGTTCAAACTCCAGTACCAAAAAAAAAAGAATATTAACCCAGCCTCTTTAGTTAGTTAATAATCAAGAGTGCACCGATTTTTAAAATAAGCCATTTTGCTCAAGTGACAGAATGCCTAACTAGCACAAGGCTCTGAGTTCAAACCTCAGTGCCACCAAAAATATAACTGTGAAATAAACCATTTCTTTTATGTCTGATCTGATGGTTCTCATTTTTGCAATGAGCTTAAATTTGCCTCCTAATTTCTGTCCAGATGTTTCTAGAGCAACACTGTCTAGTAGAAATGTAATGTGAGTTTTAAGTGTGAGTCATATTTGTAATAAAAAAATTTTTAGTACCTGTTTATACATTTAAAAAAATTTTTTGGTGGTATTCAGGACCTCATGCTTACTAAGCAGGTGCTCTACCATTTGAGCCAGGCTCCAGTGCTTTTTTGCTTTAGTTATTTTTCAGATAAGGTTTTGTACTTTTTGCCTGGGGCCAACCTCAGACTGGTGTGTGGCTTCTTTTGTTGAGATAGGATCTTGCTAACTTTTCTTCTGAACCATGAGTTTATTGAGCTCCACCTTCCAAATACCTGGAATTATAGCTGTGCACCACCATGCCTGGCCTAGTATCTTCTTGTTGTTAATTATTTTTATCGATACTGGGGTCTGAACTCAGGGCCTACACCTTGAACCACTCCTCTAGCCCTTTTTTGTGTTGGATATTTTTGAGATGATGTCTCTCCAACTATTTGCCACAATACTCCTGATCTCTGCTTTCTGAGTAGTTAGAATTACAGGCGTGAGCCACCTGAGCCTGGTTTGTATTTTTTTAAAAAGTAAAAATTGGTGAAATTAATTTTAATATTTAACCCAGTATATTCAAAATACCTCTTAAACATGTAATTAATATACAAGATCTCATTAGTAACAAAGCGTTTTTTGTATTAAGTCTTTGAAATGTGGCATATATTTTATACTTACAGTACATCTCAATTCTTTTTTTGACATATCTTTCTTTTTTCCTTATTTTAAATTATTATTGTACTGGGAGTACATTGTGACATTTACAAAAGTTCTTACAGTATATCATAGTTGAATTCACCCCTCCATCATTCTCCTTTATCCCCCTCCCCCCATTCCTGGAATGGTTTCAACAGCTCTCATTGTTTCATTTACATACATGAGTACGTATTATTTCCACCTCATTCACCCTCCTACACTCTGCTTATATCCTCTCCCCTCCAACTGGTACCAACCCAGTCTCACTCTTAACTAGCCACATTTCAGGTGCTTAATTGGTACCTGTGGCTAGTTGTCACCATATTGGACAGCACAGTTCTAGATCTTTAGAGAGTAACTCTGTTTCCCTGTCTAATACTAGCCCAGTACTTGGCACATAATAAGCACTACTTTTTGAGTGAATGAATAAAAATGCTACAGAATAAGTAATTTTATTTGGGAAATAACTTGTTGAGGTCTGTGGATTTGGTGCAAATGTTTAAGAGGTCTGAATCCACATTAAGGATATTTGTTTTGTCTTTGCAGCATAATGGATCCAAGCCTATTGAGAGAACGGGAGCTGTTTAAAAAACGAGCTCTTTCCACTCCTGTGGTAGAGAAACGTTCAGTGACTTCTGAGTCATCATCGTCATCATCATCAAAGAAGAAGAAAGCCAAGGTAGAACATGGAGGATCATCAGGCTCTAAACAGAGTTCTGGTTAGTAAAATTGTTTAGGACTGAATGCTTTCTGCTTTGCAAGAAACTACTTAGTTCATTTTCCATTTCAACATTCATACCGATTTTTAGACACTGTTAAATATAAAGATAGAACGATAAGAGTTAAAGCCCCTGTGATGGTAATAGTCATGTGGTGCTAAATTTCAGGTTATTATCTCTTTGAGAGAATAACATTGAAGTTTAGTTTGCATACCATACAGTTTACACATTTTAAGTGTATAATTCAAGTATTTTTAGTAAATGTAGAGTTGTGCGACTGTTATCACATTGCAATGTTAGAACATTTCCGTCATCCTTAAAAGATCTGTGTGACCATTCCTTCCTAAGCCCCAGATAACAAATAATCTACTTTCTATCTCTGTATAGCTGCCTTTTTTGGACAATTATAAATGGACTTTTTACTGGGTTTGAACTCAGGAACTCATGCCTGCTAGGCAGGTACTCTACCACTTGAGCCATGACACTCCACCATCCCTTTTTTGTGAGGGTTTTTTTGAGATAGGGTCTTGTGAATTATTTGCCCGGGCTGGCTTCGGACCACAATCCTCCTGATCTCTGCCTCCTGAGTAGCTAGGATTATAGCTGTGAGCCACTGGTGTCCGGCTTTAGTTATTTTTGAGATAGGCTTTCTGTTTTGTCCAGGCTGTCCTAACCTGTGATCCTCCTATTTATGCCTCCCGTGTATTGTGACCACAGGTATGTACCACTGTGCTGGACTTCTTGGTTGAGATGGGAGTCTTGTTAACTTTACTTGGGGTGACTTCAAAATATGATCCTTCTAATGTCTGCTTTCCCAGTAGCTCGGAAAGTTTTTTAGTTTCATCCATGTTGTAGAATGTATCAGTACTTCATTTTATTACTGAAGAGTATCCCAGTTGTATGGATATATCACAGTTTTATTGATGCACCAGTTAGTGAATATTTGGATTATTTCCATTTTTAGTTATTTTGAACAGCGTTTCTATAAGCATCATGTACAAGTCTTGTATAAGACGTATGTTTTTATTTCTCTTGACTAGAGATCTAGAAGTGGAATTTTGGGGTTATGGCAAATTTATATCTTTTAAAGAAACTACCAAAATGGCTGTTCCAGTTTACATTCTTACAGTAATGTGTGAGGGTTCCAGTTTTTCTCATCCTTACCAAAGCTTGTTATTTCTTGTCTTTTTGATCATAGTTATTCCAGTTGGTGTGAAGGAGAATCTGTGGGTTTTTTCTTTTTGGGTGGGACTGGGGATTGAACACAGGACTTCATGTTTGAACCACATCTCTACTCCATTTTGCTTTGGTTATTTTGGCAGTTGGGTCTTGTGAACTATTTGCCTGGGCTAGTTTCAAACCTCACTTCTGATCTCAGCCTCCTAAGTAGCTAGGATTGCAGGTGTGAGCCCCAGCAGCTGGGTTCATTGCAGTTTTAATACGTGTTTCCCAGCAGCTAACAATGTTGCCTGCTGTAGCATTTGGGTCATTCCCTTGCTTTACTGCCTAGTTTTCCCCCCCATTTAAAAAAATTGGCCTAAGGCAAGCGCCAGTGGCTACTCACAAGGCAGAGATCAGGAGGATTGCAGTTCGAAGACAGCCCTGAGCAAGTAGTTCGTTTTAAACCCCAGTGCTGCAAATAAATAAATAAATAAATAGTTTGTTTCTCTTCCTGTTGATTTGTAACAGTTCTTGATATAGTTTGGATATAATTCCTTAATTTATATACTACATTTGTAAGTATTTTCTCCAAGCTTGTGCTTGTCCTTACTTTTTTTTTGAGGGTACCGGGATTTTTTTAACTCAGGGCATAGCCACTTGAGCCACACCTCCAACCCTTTCTGCTTTAGGTTATTTTTTAGGTAGGGTCTTAAATTTTTGTCTGGTGCCAAACTGTATTAGGGTCCTCCACTTAGCTGGGACCACAGGTATGTGCCACCACTTCTGGCTTGTTTGTTGAAATAGGGGTCTTGCTCACTTTTTGTCCGAGCTGACTTCAAACCAAATTCTCCTGATTTCCACTTCCCACATAGCTTAGATTACAGGGATGAGCCGCGGTGCCTGGCCTTTCAAGTTCTTAGACTTTTTTTTTTTTTTTGGTAATACTGGCTTTGCACTTAATAGGCAGGCACTCTCTACCACTTGAGCCATTCCTTCAATCCTTCATTTTCTTCATATTTTTTGTTTGATGGCTTTTTTTTTTTTTATAATAATGTTACCAGAAGGTCAGTACAGCTAACTCCATTCTTGATTCTGGTAGGAAAAGATTTCAGACAAGATGTGAAGCAGAGTAGTAAAAAGTATAGTTTTATTAGGAATAGTAAAGCTTATTAGAACAGAAAGTCACTTGCAGAAGTGAAAATAGGTCCTAGGTAGAGAAGTATAGTCACCTCCACCTTGGCACAGGCTTTTACTGAAGTGTAAAGGGCTTGGAGTGTCATGTCCTTCCTCAGGACCAGCCCCTAGGGGTGATTGACTTGAAAGTTGTGGAAGAGATCAAACAGGTCTCAAGAAACTCTGAGCCTGAGATTACCTGTGACCTCCTAAAAAACAAAAAAAAAAAAAACCCATGGGAAAGGGGGAAGAAAATCTGCCAGTACAAGATTAAAATGAACCGTTAATGACCCAAAGGTAACTTTTGGTTATTCCAACTGATTGAAGCTGGAGGCTGGTAGTATGCCTTGGCAGAGCTCATATTCTTTTTTGTAACTGGACAGCTTGATACTTGTAATTTTGTGTAGCTGATTGTTTTAGCCCTGGAGATCAATATGTTGCTAGGCACTTACCAAACACTCTCTTGAGTGTCCTTGGCTCACTGCTTATGTCTGATTGTTACCTAACATTTTTCCTCGGTCAAGGACTGGGGACCCTGAAGATCCTCCATTTTAGGTTTCCTTTGCACATCCCAGTGTTCATGTCTAACTACTGCTTATCAATGTCTTAATTTTTTTTTAGTGGTACTGCGATTTGAACTCAGGGCCTTGCATTTGCTAGGCAGGCACTCTACTACTTGAGCCATACACAGTTCTTTTTGCATTAGCTATTTTTTGGATAAGGTCTTATGTTTTTGCCTGGTATGGCCTGGACCTCGATCCTCCCAATCTCTGCCTCCCTAGTAGATGGGATTACAGGAGTGCACCATTGTACCTATCTCTAGTAATGTCTTTTGGCTTTTTTGGTGGTACTGGGGGCTAAACTCAAGGCCTCTTTCTTATGGGGCAGGCACTCTACCACTTGGGCCATTATGCCCCTAATAAAATCTTTTGATGAGCAAACATTTTTAATTTTGATGGAGCCCAACTTACTGATTTTTTTTTATCATTTGTGTTCTTTGTGTCATATCTAAGAAATCTTTGCCTTATTTCTTAATGAAAAATTATTTATTTTCTTTTAAGAGTTTTATAGTGTTTTCTCATATATTTAAGTCAATAGTATGTTAAGTCCTTATGTTAAACCATACACAAAAATCAGCTCAAATGTGCTTTATACTAAATGTAAGAGCTAAAACTATAGCTCAGTTGTCTCAGTGCTATTTCTTTCCTTTTTTTGGCAGTACTGGAGAGTGAACTCGGGAACCTTGCCAAGCAAGCATTTTATCACTTTAGCAATACTGCCAAGTCCTTTTTGCTTTTTAGTTTATTTTTCAGATAGGATACCGTGCCTTTTCCCCAGGTCGACATTGAACTGTGATTCTCCTACAAACTTTGTCTTCCAAATGTACACCACCACACCTAACTTATTGTTGATAAGGTTTTTCTAACTTTTGCCTGAACTGGCCTCAAAGTCAGTCCTCCTACCTCTGCCTCCCAATAGGTGGGATCAGTGCTATTTCCTGAAAAAACTGTTTCCTCCTTTGAATTGCATTGTTCCTCTTGTTGATTACTAGTTCACCATCAGTGAAAGTTATTTCTGGAGTGCCAGTTTGGTTCTAGTGACCAGTGTCTATTCTTACACCAGTACCCCACTTTTTTGATTGTTGTAGCAGTTTTCAGATTAATAAGTATTAGGTTCACTGGCTGGGGATGTGGCTCAGTTGCCTACTGTGTGTGAGGCCCTGGGTTTGGTTAGTCCTTCAACTTTGTCTTTTTTTTTTTTTTTGTTTCCTTTGCATTTTCATGTACTGTTAAGATTAGATTGTCAATAAACATCTGCAAAAAAAATTAAAGCCTTCTGAGATTCTCTTTTTGCCGTACTTGTGATTCAACCCAAGGCCTGGAGTGCTCTACCACTTGAGCCAGCCCTTTTGTTTTCATTTTGCTTTTGAGATAGGGTTTTTTGTTTTGGTGGTACTAGGGTTTGAACTCAAGGCCTCATGCTTGCTAGGTAGGTGCTCTACCACTTGAGCCAATCTACCAGCCCTTTTTTGTGTTGGGTATTTTTGAGATAGGGTCACTTGGGCTTTGAACTGCAATCCTCCTGATCTCTGCCTCCTGCGTAGGTAGGATTTCAGGCATGAACCAACAGGTAATTTCTTTCAATAAAAAAGTTTCAGATTCAAATTTGAAGTTTTAATGTGTAAGTCAGTCTTACACTTATTTAAATTTATTCCTAAATATTTCTTTTTTTTTTTTTTATGTATTGTAAATGGATTTGCCTTTTTTTTGGAAGACTGGGGATTGAACCTAGGCCACTAAGCTACATCTCCAGCCCATGAAATTGTTTTCTTAATTTGATTTTTTTGGATTATTCATTGCTAGTATATAGAAGTACTGTGATTTTCATATACTGGTATTCTGCATCTTTCCTGAGCTTTTTTCTTCCTAGTACTTTTTTTTAAACCAAACTCTAGTAGGTTTTTACATGGATTTCTTAGACTATTTTATATCAAGCTTATGTTTTCTGTGGATAAAATCAACTTTTTATTTCTTGCTTTCCCATATAGATGCCCTTTTATTTCTTTTTTTTTTCTTGCCTGTCTGAAGTGGTTGGTAAGATGTTGACCTGAAGTAGTGAGAGTAGATACCTTTGCCATATTCCTGATCTTAGGGGTAAAGCATTCT